GTTAATTTTATTGTGCCATAAACATTAAGGAGTCTTGACAGGTTTGTTTTCTTCTGAAGGTGTTTGTCTTCTCTGCTTGGCAAGGTTCATAGTATCACTGAGGGAGCAGGGAAGGGATAAAAAAAATCCCCAAACAAAGGTCTTTGGGGTTTTTTTCTGCTTCTTGTTGTTGCTTTTTTGCTTATTTTTTAAAATTCTCCCAATGAATAAACACTTGCTCTAAAAGTGTTGGGGGGGGGGGGGGTTGCTTTTTTCCCTTTTTTGGTAGGTATTACATGGTACCAGGGCTCTGAAACTCATAGATGTTTTGTTCGTGACTGTGTGTGGAAACTGAGCTTCAGGAGGAATGTCGAAGTTAAATAAGGAAGATAAAGACACAATTTAAGTTTAATTCTAACTAAAAAGTTTTTGTTTAAATTAAATCATACACAGCATGCTGTTATTCACATAATAATTGATAATGTTCATAATACAAGTTCTCTTGAAGTATTTCAGTGAGCAAGACAGCAATTACTCCCTTACATCGTATGGAAATTCCATTAAAATAAATTGTTGAAATTAGCAGTTCTTTGCATTTGTTAGTTAGTTTTTTGAAGGAAAGACATTTCGTTTTTATTCACTATGCACACTAAGAGTTAGGATGTGTAACAGGTTTCTTATGCATTGTCCATGTTTGGATCTATCTGGCAATACTTTTAAATCAGTAAAGACTCTTGGAAGAATTACTGAATTACTTCAAGTGCTGTGGTAGAAAAAGAAATGAATGTTACATGAAAAATTTCACTTTATAAAAGTGATCACTTCATTTGTAAGGCTGCGGTGGTTAATGTACACACTAGTCAGTCATTTAAATTAAATACTTTTATTTCTTTTGTTTTTAATGATCTTGGATAGAAATTCAGATTGGTGATAAGTTTTAATGTAAGTTTTACAACGTGTAAATTTGATAAAGCATTTTGGAAGTATTAGGAAGTGGATGCACTTAATTGGTTGCAAATCAAGTCAAATCACTTTCTGTGTCATGGCTTCATTTTCTTCCATTCCCTTGTCACAAGCTATCAGTCTATTTTGGGAATTACTTGCATTTGACATAGAAAAGCCTGCCCTCCTTATGAATTTGAATACCCACCCCCACTCCAGTAAGCTTTTGGAAGCACTGGGTAGTTAGTTTTGTGATACATGAAATGTTTCTGAAATGTTCATAACTCCTTTTAAAGGAGTCCTGTTAACAAAAGAGTAAAGTGTGAAGATGCAATGCCAACTAGCCATACCTTTTTCTGTACTTTGTATCTGCAAGATTTAGAAGGACTGGAGTTGGGGTTATGGAGAAGTTACTAGGTAATATGAATGGTAAAGTTTTATCCGGATAAAAGCCGTTTGTAAGCACTATTAGCAATACAGTAGAGTGACACTTAATATTTAGCAGGGAAGTATCTGAACTACTGGAATCATCTGCAGTCCAGTCTTTTGTCCATGCAAGGAGGAGCCTTTTATGTTATGGTAACAAGAGCTATCTTTGATGTGTGATTGAATTCCTGCCGGTCATTTTACAATTGACTTTTAAAAATAGATGAAAACTACTTTACAATAATCATTCCCATCTTAAAAAAATTAATTTGACCAAACTCATCATATGTGTCTCTTGTCAAAGAGAATGACTTTCAAATTACTTTTGCTTTATTTTGGCATTTTTCCTTCTTCATACAGCAATAGATATAACATTGTTTTCTAGTTTGTTACTGAATAGATAATGTTACAAAAATTGAATTAATTTCTGAATTGTTTTCAGCCACTCTTTATCACTGTAGATGATATGGTCACTCTAGACACTATAGACAGTGTAATGTTTTGAAATGGATGAGTTAATTCACAGAATAGTGGTTGATCTGCTGTGTTTATTTGAACTGTTCAGTTCCTGGTCAGTTTGTGGTGAATTTATAGCCTTTGATTTGCACACTAAGGCCCCTCTCATGTTTTGTTTCAAGTTCTTCCTCTAATATAGCAGTTGATACTTGCTAGGTGTAGATGGCTGGCAGTGTTATTTCTTAAGGTTGGGGTTTATGTTTGGGTTTTTTTTTAAAGTTGACAACTCTCAACTATCTTTTTACTCCTAGGCACTTTTCAATGGAAACTTGTGTTTCTTACAAAGTATTCTTCCCACTGCTGTGTATGTACCATCCAATCAAACTTCAGTGAGGTGCAGCCGCTGCGTAAAAATTAGTAGTGATGGCCTCACATTATTAGTTGATACATGACATAATTTAAGCTGTGGTTATTTTCATTCTAAGGGCTACTGCAGTATAAACAACTGGAAAATTACACTACTTCTGATAAGCTGTTAAACTGAAATCAGTATTTGTAATACCAATAAAAAAACCTAAATTGTTTTAAATTTAAAGCATCCAGTTGGAAAGAGCAGTGAAATTCCTTGGAGTCTTAAGCATATTTCCACGTGTTCTACATAGCTGCATTGTAAATTAATGGCATACTGACTGCTGGATTTAGTTTACATGGACAATGGCCAAGCTTATTTTGTGTGGATTTTTTTTAGTCACAGTGTGTATGCCTGCTGATTGATAAAATAGTGTCAAAAGCAGCATTACGTGGTGATAGATCTCCAGTATGTAATATGCATAGCTGGCACTGTTGTGGTTGTCAAAAGTAGCAAAATATATATTAATAGCTGTGAGACAATAGTAAGAATTTGGATGTTACTGATATCTTTTGGCTTATTGGTCTTTAATATGCTTTTATGTTACTATTTTTAAAATATATTAAAAATGTTCATTTGAAGGTAGAAACAGCTGCCAGTTGCAGAGCTCTGCCATGAAGGATAGTGTATGGAGTTGAGTACACCCTGAAACATTAACTGTGTTAACTGCTGGCTCAGCCAAAGCCCATGTGCATCTGGTTTTGCCTTTATCAATAAATACAGAACTGAAGATGGTCTGAGGGACCAGCCATTCTTTAGTTTTGAATTAACTGCTGTAGTTTCATTTTAACTAGACTTTCAGCAGCATAGCAAGAAGAATAAGTGTATGTGTATTGATAAGTTTGTATGTACGTCTGCATTTGACATCTTCCGCTCTTAGGAATATCAAGGTCTTGTCCTTTCTCAGATGGCATATTGACATTTTTCTAAAGACAGAGAGAATTTTAGCTGATAAGCTGTGTATGCCAAATTCGCCAACTTTCAATCCACCTCTGCTCCTGCAACTGAAAATGTGTTGGTCTAGGTAGAGATTGTAGTGTGGCCAAACCTATAACTTACTTAGTGCTATTAATGTTAAAAATTGCCTGAGGTATTAGAAAGGTGGAAAATCACTTCCCTTTTTATGAACTGGGTTTAACTGTATGAATCTTGATCTAGCAGGTAGTTTCATGTGCCACTTTGTGTTGAGATGTCGTCCCCAGTTTACTTGTTAGTAAATGATTGTAAAATCACTGGCCATTATTCAGAAATGTTTCAGGAAAAGACAATTTTGAAAGTTAAGTTCACTGTCAATAAATGAAGCAATCTGGTATTTTTAATTTTTTTTTCCTTAAAATGTTTGAATTTTGCTCTTAAAATATGATTCAGGGGACAAACTATTTTCGTACCTCTGGTATAATTGCAAAAACCTGAGTCATAAACTTTAGAAAGTAACTTTTTACTCATGTTTTATATGAATTTGATTAGCGTGTCAGCTAAATTTGATAGTCCCATTCACTGCAATCCTTTGAGCTGTGTCCTTCAGACAGTTCTGCACCCAGTGCACAATGATCCTACTCATCCCACACTTGGATAACTTGTCCAGAAGGATGTTGTGGGGACAATATAAAAGCCAAAAAAGGCAAAACTCACTAAAAGGCAAAAATCCCACAGCCACTATCTTTCCTTCATCTGATGGATGGGTGACCTTATTCTAGAAGCATGTCAAATTAGTTAAAACAGGACTTTTTCCTTGTCAACCCAAGTTGATACTACCTAATGATTGCATTGTTCTTTAAATGCCTTACAGTAGCATTCAGTACAATCTTCTCCATAATTTTTCTGAGTGTTGAGGTGAGACTAACAGGCCTGTAGGTTCCTGGGTAATCCGTCTTTTCCTTCTTATAAAATGAAATAACATTGGTTAGCTTCTATTGAGTAGGGACCTCCCCATACTCCCAGGACATTTGGTAGCTGGTGGAGAGGAGTGGTGCCCTCACAAACATCAACTTCTTCAGTACTCAGGTAAATCCCATCAGATCTCATGGACTTGTGAACTGTGAACTGCTACATCTAGTCCCTGAGAAGAGTCTAAACAAATGGGAAGTCACTATTCCTGAAGTTATCCTCTAAATCCAGGGCAGAAGGCAGTTTATCTGTATTATTTAAGACTGAGGCAAAGGAAAGCATTCAGTGTCTCTACACTTCTTTATCCTTAATAGTCAGATGACCATCTTCACTAGGTATCAGAATTGTATTTTCTTTAGACCTCCTCTTGCTACTAGTGTACTTTGAAAACCCTTCTTGTTGTCTGACACAATACCAGTCAGTTTCATCTCCAGCTGAGCTTTGGCCTTTTGCATCTTGTCCCCTTCATACATGAACCACAGCTCTGTCAAATTCCTGCAAAGCCTAACCTTGTTTCCAGACAGCATACCATTTATTTTTCCTCCTGAGCCCCAAGAGGAGTTCTCTGTCCAGTCAAACTGGTCTCCTGTCCTATTTGCTTGACTTTGGATACAATGGAATAGCCAATTACTGTGCTTTTATATAGCGAAGAATTCCCTTTTAATTTTGGTGTGGGTTTTTTTCTTAAACCTGTTTAATTTTTTCAGATAAAAATATCAAATATTTTGATTTTTATAACTGTGTGGCAGCCTTGTTTTCATGGTACACCAATGGAGAAAAAAAGAGCTATTTTAAAACCATTAATATTTGGGGGTTTTAAACTTTTTTTTTAACTATTAGCATGGTGGGATTTGGACTGTAATTTGATATGATTTGTGTAATTGTGTTTCTTCTCTTTCAGGAAATACAGCACTACATGACTGTGCAGAATCTGGAAGTTTGGAGATCATGAAGATGCTTCTCAAATATTGTGCTAAAATGGAAAAGGATGGTTATGGAATGACTCCCCTTCTGTCTGCCAGTGTGACAGGCCACACAAATATAGTGGACTTTCTGACCCAGCATGTACAGACCAGTAAGGCTGAGCGCATAAATGCCCTGGAACTTCTAGGAGCAACATTTGTGGACAAAAAGAGAGATCTGCTTGGTGCTTTGAAGTACTGGAAAAGAGCTATGGAAATGAGATACAGTGATAGGACTAACATCCTCAGCAAACCTGTGCCACAAACACTAATTATGGCTTATGATTATGCTAAAGAGGTAAACAGCTCAGAAGAGCTAGAAAATCTTATTGCAGACCCAGATGAAATGAGAATGCAGGCATTATTAATTAGAGAACGTATTCTTGGCCCTTCACACCCAGACACATCCTACTATATTAGATACAGAGGTGCTGTGTATGCAGACTCTGGAAACTTCAAGCGTTGCATCAATTTATGGAAGTATGCTTTGGACATGCAGCAGAGCAATCTTGATCCTCTAAGCCCTATGACAGCCAGCAGTTTGCTGTCATTTGCTGAACTTTTCTCTTTCATGCTTCAGGATAGGGCAAAAGGCCTGCTAGGCACTACTGTCACTTTTGATGATCTGATGGGTATACTGTGCAAAAGCGTTCTTGAAATAGAACGGGCCATGAAACAAAGCCAATGTCTTCCTGATCCAGTACAGCTGAACAAAGCTCTTTCCATCATTTTGCATTTAATTTGCTTGTTGGAGAAAGTACCTTGCAGCTCAGAACAGGAACATTTTAAGAAACAAACTATTTACAAGTTTCTTAAGCTTCAGCCTAGAGGAAAGAATAACTTCAGTCCACTTCACCTTGCTGTTGACAATAATACTACATGTGTCGGTCGCTACCCAGTTTGTAAATTCCCCTCTCTACAAGTTACTGCTATCCTGGTGGAATGTGGTGCTGATGTAAATGTCAGAGACTCTGATAACAACAGTCCATTACACATTGCTGCACTGAACAACCATCCAGACATCATGAATCTTCTTATCAAGTCAGGTTCACATTTCGATGCCACAAACTCATGTAAACAAACAGCTAGTGATTTGCTGGATGAGAAGGAAATAGCAAAGAATTTAATCCAGCCCATAAATCATACTACTTTGCAGTGTCTTGCTGCTCGTGTAATAGTGAATCATAACATATCCTATGCAGGGCATATCCCTGAAAAACTAGAGAACTTTGTTTTACTCCATAGATGATAGTGTGGCGTTCCAGAGTACTGTTCTTTAAGCACGACATGGTGATATTTTCCTTGAGCACCGTTGTGATACACCAGCGTTCCTTTAGCTTGCTCCATTTTGCTCTCATTGCCTAGTGTTGTTAGCATCAGATTTGCAGAGTTGGTTACCCAGTATTTAATATGAATATGCCATATAATATATTTTGTGGATTATTTAGAAATGTAATGCCATATTTAGACTTTAAATTGTCTGCCAAAGGCTTGTCCTTTCTGGTCTTATTTGCCTGTTGGGTGTTTGGGACTGAGTTAAGTATTTTCCACTGATGTCTTTTTACTATAACTGGTATGTGGATTTTATACAGTTGGAAGGTCATCTTTTTTTGGTTTTGCTTGAGTGTTTCTACTCCTACTCTCTTCTTTTTCTATGGACTCATTGCTAAACTGTGCAAGTTGTATGGACTTGTTAACATTTGCAACTACCATAAGTGCTTTTATCTTCTCTATGCACTGGCTTAAACATGACTGTTGTGTGTGAGCATATTTCTATGCATCACTTGGCCAATTTCAACTTAAATGCCAATCTTGTTTTGCAGTTTGTTTAAAGCTCTCTTGAGAATGCTGTCTTCATAGCATGATGAATTTTGGAGTTATTTATCAGCTCTCCAAACTTGGGTTTGACTTTTTTGACTGCTTTAACTGAGGTTGCTTTCCTTTTGATCCTCTGGAATTTTTTCCTAAACTGGGGAGAAGAAAATCTTGCTTTTTCTGATTGTAGTCCACTTGAACTTTAAATCTGAAAATTGTTCTGTTGCATCGTGCAGCTGGGGGAAGAGTCCTCATGGTGTACAACTGATGCCTTCCCCTCTGCACTGTCTTGCTTGTGCCAGTTATGTGACTAGATGTGAAGTTTGCTCAAAGTTTAACCTCAAACCTTAATGATACACTTCTTTGAGAAATAGATCAAATATATGCTCTGCTTTAAAATCTGCAAATCAGCTTTAGCTTACAAAAGAAAACTAAAGCATGTTGATGGCATGATGTTTATCAGTCCAGATGTAGACATCATATAGTGTAGTAAGTGGCTGTCTGCCAGGGTATTGAAAGTTCTATAGCAGTGTCCTTTTTTTTTTTCTTCATTTTAAGTATCTTTATAAATACTTGCATGGATTTTTCATCTCTGCTATGTCAGTTGTACTTAACAAAAGCATAAGTTCTGTTGTGTATATAGCTCCTATTAAAGTACCTATTTTTTATAATATTTGCACAACAGCTTAGCTTTTGCAACAGAAAGGGCTCTTTTGACTTGATAAGAAGTCTATAAATGAAGATCATAAATGTGAGTGCGATTCAGGTAATTAATATAATTCAGCACTTTACTGTTGATTAATAGTAGGATTTATTATGGCACATTAGCCCTAAAATGTCTTAAAGTGAAATTAATTTCTGTTGGATAGGATACAGTTTACTTGCAAATTTAGTCATCTAGCATTTTGGGTATTTTTGGCTTAATGTTTCATCTTAGTTGTGGGCAGTAAGTGTACCTATGGGGTTCTTGCTCCAGAAATCTAACTGGTTTTATGCCTTTGTCAGAGATAAGAGATGTTTAGAATCCAAATTAGTTAGGTTAGGAAGGTCTTTGTAATACTTTAATTTTTAAGTTGATGTTAGAATACTTTTGTTATTTGTGGTTGAACTTGAGGAAGAACATGTCTTGGGAGCACATAAGAACAGCCCTTCCTTGTTCTTGTTCTGTTTTGGCATTCCTGCCAGTGTATGGCAGTGTACAGGTGCCTACTAGCTTAGCCATTTTTGCAAAAACTATGGGGATGTTTTTAAGCAAAGATATGTTGAAAGCAGTGCTGTTTGTGTGTTGTCACTACCAGACTTGCTGTTTTGAAGCAATTTTCTCTGGTTTGTCCCTTGCCGTGTCTATGTTGTATACTATTACAAGAATCATAGAATCATTTAGGTTGGAAGAGATCCTTAAGATCATTGAGTCCAACCCTTAACCGAGCACTGCCAAGTCCAGCACTAAACCATGTCCTTAAGTGCCACATCTACACGTGTTTCAAATACCTCCAGCCATGGTGACTCAACTGCTTCCTTTGGGCAGCCTGTTACATTGGTTAACCACTCTTTCCACTAAGGAGTTTTTCCTAGTATCCAATCTGTATCTCCCCTAATTCAGCCTGAGGCCATTTCTCCTTGTATTGCTTGTTACTTGGGAGAAGAGGCCAACCCCTGCCTTGTGAAGTAATTGTAGAGAGTTGTAAGTTCTCCACTGAACCTCCTTCTCTCCAGGCTGAACAACCCCAGCTCCATTGGCTACTCCTCATCGGACTTGTGATCCAAACCCTTCCCCAGCTCCACTGCCCTTCCCTGGACATGCTCTGGCACCTTGGTATCTTTGATGTAATGAGGGACCCAAAACTGAACACAGCACTTGAGGCATGGCTTCACTGTACAGGGGACAATCACTGCCCTGATCCTGCTGGCCACGCTGTTGCTGATGCAGGCCAGATGCAGGTTTTTCTGGCATCACACAAGACTAAAGTCTGGTCAGTTGACTGAATTGCTGTGATTTGCAGTGCTTAGGACACGTGCCACTCAGCTTTTTATTTGTGAGGACGTGTAGTTTGATTTTCGAATTTATACATTTTAATGCTTTTCTGCTGCTCTTTAGATGGGGATAATCAGCAAATGATACCATACTAGAATTATACATCAAGTCACAAAATTAATTATTTTTGTATAGGTCTCAGAGAAAAGGTTTTTTAGAGTTTTTTACTTTGGAATCTGTCCTGCTCTTTGGTGGTTTTAGTTTTAATTCCTGTCTTTATAACTGACAATTAGTCTGTTTAAGATTCGTTGGTTGGTTGTTCAGCCTGAGGAAGAGAAGGCTGCAGGGAGACCTTGTATAGGACCTTCCAGTACCTAAAGGAGGCTACAAAAGAGCTGGAGAGAGACTTTTTACAAAGTCATGGGGTGGAAGGACAAGGGAGAATGGCTTTAAAAGGAGAAGGGTGAGATTTAGCTTTGATATAAGGAAGAAATTGTTTACTCTGAACATGGTGAGGCACTGGCAAAGGTTGTCCAGAGGAGTTGTGGATGCCCCAAGGCTGCATGGGGCTCTGGTCCAGTGGAAGGCGTCTCTGCACATGACAGAGAGGTTGGAACTAGGTGATCTTTAAAGTCCCTTCCAACCCAAATCATTCTATGATTTATGATTATTAGTTCAGAAATATAATGTAAAATTTTTTAATGTTAGCAATTTTTTAAATGGAAAGCATTCCCAAAAGTGAAAGCATATCACTGTTAGTTCTATGTAAAGCTAGTGAATATTGCTACAAGAAAGGCTTACTGTGTTAGCTGCTCTTTAGAAACAAACCAGGCTATTATAAATGCTGATTTATTGCACGAATTTCTGTGTAAATATCTACTGATGTGCATCAGTCCGAAGGATTTATCACCTCCATGCTGAATTTAATTTTTCATGGTGATGAAGCTCTCTGCTGAAGAGAGCTTATCTTGCCAGATTACTTAGACTTAGGTGACCTGGCAGATGAATTCATGCATTTTTGGCCACTTTGCATTTAGACCTATGTGTTTACACTACTTTGTTTTATTTATCTTAATTTTAATTTTGTAATATTTTTAACTCATTCTTTTACCATTTATCTCCCTATTTGGCCTTTTTTTCTGATGAACACACTGCTTCTGAGCTACTGACACAGAAAAATGCTGAGAACACTGCAGAAATAATTATATGCCCTGCAGAGATGAAACAAGTTTTAAATTGATTAAACAACTTACAGGTATTCCCCCTAGAGACAAAGGAACTGATACCTCCTTGCTTGGTATCAGTTGAGACCTCTAAGCTGCATTTTTTGGGGAAGGGGATAAATGCACAGAGCAGCTTTTGATAGTTGTGGGTTTCAACTGAAGTACTTGAACAAGGAAGATGAAAAATATTCTCGTTAAAAAGAATTAAAATTATGTTCCTCTTTTTGTATCACTTAGGCTGGTGACAAGATTCCAGCTGTCTGCAGTGTCTGTGTTCTCTTTGTTAGGTGCAGTGTAAAGATATTTTCTGAAATGCAAGGCAACATTGTGGTTATTTTTCCATATATACTTCACAACACTCCCTGGATAGGAAGTAGTCTTGTGTTGTTCCTAAGTTCACAAAGAGCTGTCTTTTAACAACTGTCTTGCAACTGGTTAAAATGAACCTCTTTCTGTTTTTACAAACACTACTTTAAAGAAAGTAATGCAGTGCTATAGCAAAATCCTTAAAGGAGGATTTGTAATTAGATAAAAACCTTCTGAGGAAAAGTGTGCCTTGCGTCAGTTTTGTATCAGCTGCAAGGTGACAGTGGAGGGATATGGCTGCTCTTGAAATAGCTTTGAAATATAGAGTGGAATGACTGTTATACTCTAAAATGTTGAGAAGCATGAAAAAGTTGACTAAACACTAATTCTGTTTAATACTTCTGTGAATAAAATGATGCCAACTGATATTTAACACTTCAAAGTAATTTTGGTAATTTTGATGAGAGACATACTAGACTGCTCATATTTCTTGCTTTTGAGTGTAAAAGTAACTGTTGAGCCCTCAGTGAGGGCAGAGTGAAAAGCTGTTGTTGGTTTGGTTTTAAATAATGTTGTATTTGTGTTCCATTCTATTGCGAAGACTTCCTATGCAGGGCTAGCTCCATGTATGGAAATATTGCAGTTTCTTTTTTACGTGAAGTAATTTAGCTTTAACAGTAATGTAAAAAAGGAATAACAAGCATATTTCTCTGCTCCTACTCTCTTTAGGCTCCAAATGCAGATTACATTAAAAATATGTTTTGGAAAACACCTGTCCGAGTGTATATATGTGTTTTCTCTAGGGTGTTGCAGTACTGATTGGTAAACTACTTTCCTTGTTGAGTAGCTAAATGTAAATGCTGCAGGTTCAACCTTCCTGTCACTAAGAATTGTGCCTTAAGCAAAAAGTCATATCTCATGCTCTGTCTTTCTGTGAAATTATGGTCTGGCAAAGCCTTTAAATTTCACTGGTGGGTTGTAGTAAAGAAAAGGCTTAAACTGAATGATACAGGAGAAACTATTTTCCCACTTTCTAGAAAAAGCATTTAGTCATACTGTTAACCAGGGGAAACAGTATCTCCAGTTTGTAACCTAAAAGTAGATAGCAATGCTTTGTACAAAGTAAGCAGCAGACAGTTTTCCAGAAAGCTGTACAAATTCATTTTCTTCTTCATCCTTTTGAAGGATCTTCCATATTGCATTAACAATGTAAAAAATAGAGGAATAGAACATCTCAAGGGTGAGAGAAGCAGAAGATCCTTATTAGAGGCAGCTGGAGATTTGAAGAATATTGCCGTTATAATTTCAAAATACCTTTACAATTAGGCACAGTAGTCCCAGTCCTATCCTGTAAGGAAGGGTATATTTCAGAGAGCTGGAACTTTACATTAGGGCTGATCAGTAACAATAGGATCAAAAAAGATGAGACTCTGGATGAGGAAATCTGCTCCAGAACTTTGCAGTAGAATAATTGTCACACAGATGGCTTTAGTGAACCGAATGTAGATTCTCTTAATTAAGAAAGGGAAAAACTGGAAAGGATCATTTACATCATTATTCATCCTTCTGCAGCTGAAAGATGTCTGCTGTTACCTAAGGTGTGTAACCATCCAAAAATGGCTTCATGGCAGTAGCAAGTGCTGGCTGATGCTTGAAGACCAAAACTCATCATACAGAATAGTGCAGGATTAGGGAAAAGAGACCAAGTGTGAGGTGTGTTGCTCTGGCATGGGCAATACTTTTGTTTGTTTTGCCCATAGTATCCAGACGGCCAAATGCCATCCACAGTGAACAGCAGAAGGCCCTTCTCCCCTCTCCAAAGGCTTACCTTGCAGTTGATCTCCAGTATTCATAAAAATTGAGAAGATGTTATACTCAGAAGTTATGGACAACAGTTTTGAACTATACACACAGGGGAAAAAAAGAATTGCATTCTGATTTATCTGTCTGTCAGAAGCCAGTGAGTGTGAGACAATGTAAATTATGAAAATGGCAACCACATCTCTCATCAGATCATAAAACACAATCATGACACATGATCTGGGTTCCTCTCTGAAGTTCAAAGGGTTGCTTCTATCATATCTCCTGAAGGTGTATCAAGTCATAAGTTCCTTACCAAAAATTCTCCTTAGAAGATTATTTGGAATTCCCATCTATCAGTAATTAGAAACCTAATTCCCATTTGAAATACATGTTTTCCTAGCTTTGTATGTGTGATGTTCTCATAGTTTCAGTACTTGTCCGTCCTTCAGAGAGAGTTGTTCTCTCTCAGCCTTTATGTGGTTAGGCTAAATCAACCAACCAAAAGAACACACAAGCTGTAAGAATGAGCAAAAACCAGAATAATCTAGAGTTTAGTAAGCTGACAGGATGGTTCGGTTTTCCCTTTTCCCCTCTCTTGATTGCATGCTCCCCGAAAACCCCAGAATCCACTGGTTCACTAAACACTTTTTGCTGCTGAACCTGCAATTTAAATTGCAAATTGGTTCCTTTTTACAATGGTAGAGATTTTTTTTTACAGTAAACAGCTGATTGCTTTCGTTTCAGATTCTGCAGCTTGTATTGTCCTCTTGTAATATTTTAGGTGCCTGGATGTTGCTTTGTTCCATTCACACACGCCATTATCCTAAATGGAATGTGAGGCAAAATGTTCAGTGAATGAGCCAGACTTGGATTAGTTTTTGTTTCCATCCCATAGTTTCAAAATAGTGAACTTGCCTTTTTCTCCTTTCTTTTTGCATGTGTGGCAAAAAGGCATTTTATTGGCCAGCCTATACTTTTGATTGGTTAGTCTGTAAGGTGGGGGTCCTCCTGAGATGACTGTGCTCTTTCTGGTTTTCTGGCTTAGGGAAGCACATCATCTCCCGCTTTATCGTGCTTTGTTTTCCCATAATGCGTGAAATGGAAACTTCAGGGAGTTAAAAACCAAAAGAAATGAGCAAAAAACCCTAAAAGAAAACCCAGCAAAAAACCAACCAAAACCAAAAAGCCCAAACAACTAAAAAACAACAAATAAAAAATTGCCAACAAAACCCTCAAAACCAAACCAGAAAACAGAACCTGCTGTAAATTAGCAAAATATGCAGTGTGAGGCAGATGCCCTGTGGGCTGCTACGAGGAGTGTGGATTGCTTACTTCCAGTCCCACCTGCTGGTAGCCTTGGGGCCAGATAGTTCTGTGGGAGGGCTGCTCCCACCGCAGCACTGCTGATCAAGGTGTGCTTCTCAAGTGAGTCTCCCCATTGACCGTCCTTTGCTGGTTTGGGTTTGTGTCACTGAATTGCCTTAATGCACAACTTGCGTTAATTTTGAATGCTTAACCTGAGCTTAAAAAAGTATTCTGAAAGCTCACTGAGCAGGCTTTGACCACTAATGGCTGTCCAGTTCATGGGAGCACATTTTAAGTTGTTCTGAAATAACCCTTAAATTTTCTCCCATTCCTGTACTACTCCCACGGGGTGTCACAGACTTTTGATCCTTGGCATCAACTCCTCTATTCTACAGATCTCCTTTCTAATACAAGTGTAACTGTAGTTTTCAGTTTCTCTCCTGATGTTAAACATAAGTTGACACATACACTGGCTTGTTTTTCCTCTTGCTTGTAGGCGGTTACTGCCTATTGTGCATAGCATTGTGTAACCCATGTTCTGCGTTAAGCTGGGTCATGAAAATGAGATAATGTACTTGATTGCTAAAGGTGGATCTACCACATCATTAACTGTTGAGAAATGAGTCAGCTGTGCCACATGCAATGCTAATACTTCCTCCTGACAGCGTGACTGACCTTAGTACAAAGTGCTGTTGATGTATTGTAAAGAAATATTTGCTCCATTATATCAGGGCAGAAACTAAGGCACAGACTCAGTGACCTCTTAAAATGACCACAGGAAGTATGGGCTGTAGCAAGAAACAGAGTTCAGATCATCTGGCTCCAGGGACTTTAATTTTGAGATTATTTGCTCCAGGTAGGTTTGACATTGGTAATTTCATAAATGAAGACTCTATATAAAAAAACAAAAAC